ATTGGACGGAAACAACTTGTATTTCAGAATGTAGTGCTGGGGAAACTGCTGCTCAGCCCCTTGTTCTCTGGCCTGTGGGATCCTGCAAAGTTTCATCTCATCCCTTATGTTTTCAAACATCTACATGAAACCGCTGGGTGAGGTCATCTATAGATTTGGGCTGGGTTGTCACCATCTATCTTGCACTTCCAGCTGATTCCAGGGAGGATGTAGAAACCCTGAACCAGTGCCTGAAGATGCTTTCAGAGTGGATTCAGGCTAATAAACTGAAGCTTAAACCTGGCAAGACGAAAGTAGTACTGGTGAGCAGAGGATCTGACCTGGAACTTAAGGTGTCACCCTGTTCCTCTTGAAGGAACAGGACTGTAGTTTGGGAGTGCTCTTGAACCCAGACCTACTACTGGGTTGGCAGGTGGCAATTTTACCAGCTTCCACTGGTAAGTAGGCTGTGGCCTTTCCTGGACAGGAAACATCTGGCCAGTGTGGTGCATGCCCTGGTGACATCTAGATTAGATTACTTCAATGTGTTTGGTGTGGGGTTACCCTTGAAAAGTGTTTGGAAACTTCAATTGGTGCAGAATGCTGCAGCCAGGAGGCTGACTAGAGTGGGTTGTAGGGATCGTATCACTCCACCCTTGACTCATCTACACTGGCTCCCAATCTGTTTCCAGGCACAACTGACATTTGGAACTCTATATGATTAGGGACCAACATACCTGAAAGACCACCTACTCACTTATGAACCTACCTGGCCACTGCAGTCATCTTCAGAGGGCCTGCTTCAGGTGCCTCCACCTTCTGAGATTAGGTGGGCAGCAAACTGGGAAGAGGGTCTTCTTGGTTGCAGCACCAAAACTCTGGCCCTCTCTCCCCAGGGAGATTTGCCTGTCCCCTTCTGTTGCTGCCTTCTGCCTGTGGGCAAATACTTTTTTGTTTCATTTGTCATTCTCAGTGATCCCTCCTTCCTCTTCCGTATTTTAACCATTATTTATATCTCTTCCACTTAAAACTTTATGCTCTGGCTTTAAGTTATTTTAGCGATGTATTTGTGTGTTGGTTTTAATGGCTTTTAAGATGAGATTTTTATTTGCCTATTTTTATTTCTTAGCCACCTTGGTGGTGCTATGAGGGCAGAGAGGCAGGGTAAAAACTTGTCAATAAATAAATAATAAAGGACATCTCACTTTGTTGGACTGTGGCCACGGGGAGGCCAACATGCCACTGGAAATACTTCACTACTGAAGGTACTTCTACGCGTCATCGTGACTCAGCACGCAGGCCACTGGCTTAACCATTTGTTTTAGATTCATGTCTGCAGCAG